ATCGGATCCCCCGGAACTGCAGTAACTGTTGGGAGCTGCCATGTGGGTGCTGGGAACTGTACTTAGTTGCTCTGCCCAAGCAGCGAGTGCTGTTCCCCACCGAGCTGAGTCCCCAGCCCCTTAAGAACACGGAACCCTGCACACACTGACGTCATGTTGGGCAGCCCCGCGTCGCGCGGGTGCGGGGCTGTCGGTCTCGTCAGTGGAGGTACTGGGCTCGTGCTCAGTACCCCGGTGCTTACCGTTGCCCTTGAAGCAGAGCTTCTTCTTCTGGTAGGCGATGAAGGTGGACACGGCGCCCGTCAGCGCGGCCAGCACCGCGCCCACGATGCCCGGGATCACGCCCTCGGGGGTCTCTGCAGGGAGGGAGGGCGGGGTCAGGACGCTGTGCACACGGAGCACAAAGGAAATACGGTCCCAGCACCCACGTGCACAGCCTCCTGAAAGTCCAATTCCCCGGGGGTGCTTTTAGCTCAGTGAATGGAGTGCTTGTAGCTCAGTGGAGTGCTTGTAGCTCAGTACATACAGTGTGCTTGTAGCGCGGTGGAGAGAATGCTTGTAGGTCAGTGAGCAGAGTGCTTGTACCTAAGTAGGTACTGCTCATCACTGATCGGACACAGTGCTTCCCTAGCACGTGACGAGCCCTGAGTTCATCCCCGGAACTGCATCCCGAGACGTAGGTCCGGCCTCGCCACCCGTCAAGATCGTCACACGTGCCAGGTCATCCTGCGCTACGGCGGGCCTGGGCTAGCCCTGGCTACGTGACGCCCTGTGTCCACCAGCACCGCCTGCTCTTCGGGGCCTGGCCAGCGGAGAGCGGATGGCGGGCGACCAGAGGAGGAGATAGGCAGTTGATTAGAGCAGGAAACAGGTGATCGAGTGGAGTAGGAGATGGGTGATCGATTAGTGAAGGAGATGGCGCTGGATGAGAGCAGATAGGTGATCGATTAGTGCAGCTAGGCGGTGGAGGAGATAGGCGCTCGATTAGAACAGAACATGGCCCTGGATTAGAGCAGATAGGCGCTCGATTAGAACAGGACATGGCCCTGGATGAGTAGGTCAGTGAGCAGAGTGCTTGTACCTAAGTAGGTACTGCTCATCACTGAGCGGACACAGTGCTTCCCTAGCACGCGACTAGCCCTGAGTTCATCCCCGGAACTGCATCCCCAGACTTAGGTCCGGCCTCGCCACCCGTCAAGATCGTCACACGTGCCAGGTCATCCTGCGCTACGGTGGGCCTGGGCTAGCCCTGGGTACGTGACGCCCTGTGTCCACCAGCACCGCCTGCTCTTCCGGGCCTGGCCAGCGGAGAGCGGATAGCGGGGGACCAGAGGAGGAGATAGGCAGTTGATTAGAGCTGGAAACAGGTGATCGATTGGAGTAGGAGATGGGTGATCGATTAGTGAAGGAGATGGCGCTGGATGAGAGCAGATAGGTGATCGATTAGTGCAGCTAGGCGGTGGAGGAGATAGGCACTCGATTAGAACAGAACATGGCCCTGGATTAGAGCAGATAGGTGATCGATTAGAACAGGACATGGCCCTGGATGAGAGCAGATAGGTGATTGATTAGAACAGGACATGGCCGTGGATGAGAGCAGATAGGTGATCGATTAGTGCAGCTAGGCGGTGAAGGAGATAGGCGCTCGATTAGAACGGGACATGGCGCTCGACTAGAGGAGATCGGCGCTCGATCGGTTTGTGACACGCGGTGGACACGCTATCCCGCTGCATGTGCTTTGTGACAGGCGACAGGCCCTCCGACGGCACTCACCTCCATGAACACGGCCACTCGACAACCACATATGTGTGCACACAGCTGTGACCGTGCTTTGTGGCCGTGGACCACCCCGTGTCGCCCTTGCACAGGCCGGGCAGGCGTGACGAACCGAGCACCGAGCACACGGATGAACCCACCTTTTCCTCCTGAGCTCCCGTCCAGCAGGTCCTGGTCAGACAAGTCACCTGGGGACAACACGTCACAGCGTCAGCACGCGCCGGCAGCACACGTCATCAGCACAGAGGGAGGGGAAAAAGCCCCGATGAGTCAAACACCGAGGATCGCGACGCGGCGGGGCCCGCTTGTTACACGGAGGCGCTGGCCGTGACGCCCCACCAGGACATGACCCGATGACCCCGTTTCCTCACCCGTGTTTCCGGGCTGCGCCGGGTGCTGGTTCCGTTTGGGCGGAGTCTCTGGAGGACCGTTGTCTGCGGGTGAAACACGAGAACTGAGTTCAGCACCCGGGACCGGAAGGTGGGAAGCACCACAGACTCGGCCCACACCCCCACTACCCTGCGAACAGCAAAACCGACGACTAGAGAGAGGGTCGCACGGGGATCGACCGAGGATGTAATCGGCACAGTGCTGTGCCCGGTCCCCGCGGTTGCGTGGCGCCTGGGGTAGGAGACGGCGGAAAACAAACTGAAATTAAATTAAATTAAAAATAAATTAAAACATTAAATTAAAAGGAGTAAGATGATCCTATTTGACGTACATATACTCACAGTCTTATGTTTCCTGAATAAGCATAGATAATTAACAAATTGGAGTATCAACTTAGCATTTGTACAGAAGCAATATTGCATCAAATAACTGATTACTATACTTCTGTTAAATTACAATTTGTGCTTCTAAAATG